GATTCCACTGCTAACCACTATCCATCTTTGCTTATAATGCTTGTAAATTAAGGCAATATTGAGGCAGTATACACAATATGCACATATGCCAACACGAGACTGATCAATTGCGGTCCTAAGCATCAATGGGAAGATCCAAGTAAAACAATACCAAGTGAATTAAGAACAATAATGTTTGCTCATATATGTTGTTCTAAGAAACCACTTAATTTTGGTTACCTTCCAAGGGATTCCTTGGTATGATTTAAAAAATCATATAATTTCGTCGAAAATATCCAATGGCTTTAAGGAATGAACCAGAATGACACATTAAAAAGTCCCAGAAATGTATTTACTTCCACCTCTATCTAAAAGGCTCTAGTCACTTGATTTTTCCCTTACTTCTCAATCTTTATGTGCTGAACATGAAACCTGAGATTATTTGATCAAACAAGGAAGTAATAACGAACACATTACAATGACTAGTTCAACTGTAATGTACAGCACATATTCGTTTCTCCCTCGTTGATTAATATCACTTTATAAAATCTACCTTTATTTGAGCACTCGAAATGATAGTTAATATCTTTTATTATTCATACTATCAACTATGATCCTAATAACTTTCATTGTTAAACATACAATGTATGTTGTCCTTAATTAACTATTTAAATCTGAAGAGGCTTTATTTTCCAAAGTAGTTCAATACTTTTAAGTGACCATTCTTATTGTGTAGTAATAATAATACTAATAATACTAATACTAATACTACTAATAATAATAATGATAATAATAATAATAGTTTGAGAATCATATTTTTATTACTGGTGTTGTATAATACAGAGGAGAAAATATTCATCAAGTGGATATTTTTAAGTCATCATAATAATAAGAATAACAGTCTATATTTTCAGTGTTTCAAATATGAAATAAAAAAACATTTTGTAAGACATTTCACTGAAAGTTTCTCAACCCTCTTAATCGATATCAAGTGCAGTACTTGTCATCCATCGATGTTATCATACTGGTACCCGCCTTAATCTCTTACACAACCACACACACCTAAATTAGACTAGTTTAATCATTAACAAAATGTTAAAATGGAATTATTTTTTTTTGAATAGATTATTATAAAAGATTAATATAAAAAAATAAAACGTCTAAAACTACTTTTTAATTCGAATTATAAACACTGACCATCACTTAATCGAACTGACAAAAAATATATTCTTCTTCGAAACTGGTTATTTTGTAGTCAGAATTAGTTATCTTTGATAATTAGAAGTAGCTGAACTCGGTACGTTAGCTAATAATTCCCGGAACTATCCAATTTGTACTCTAGTAGTTAAGTATGGACCAATATTAGAACCAGAAAGAACTGAATGAGCAAAACCAGATGTATTACATTTGGAATTTGAATAAAGCACGAAATAATATGCAGAGAAATCATTAATTTGTAAAAACATTATCACTGCAAATATTTTTGAAAAATGAAATATACTCTTTAGGTTTGTTATTATACTGACAGTCAGGACGTTCCTTGATGTACTCACCTACTGTTTTATAACTCTTTAGCAAAAGTTCTGAACAAAGTACAATAGCGTCGTTTGCATCATTTCATGCCGATTAAAAATAGACGTGAAACCGTAGTCAGTGCTTATACATATTTCAAGTAGCGTTAGACATCTATTACACCAAATAAGTGATAAATTAAGGAGGTGTTATACATGTTTGACTGATATTTGTCTTGGTGTGTATAACTGGGTAGAGAAAGGGTGTTCATAAAATTCTATAAATTTTATGTCAAATAGGAAAACATGGTTCACTGCTAGCACCCCCGAATATACACAGTAGTTGGAAACTCTGTAAAATGGTGAAAAAGTAGATGTTGGGGATCTAAGTGAATATGTCTTTCAAACCAAGTGATTGTATCCGATGATGATGATACTGTTTAGTACCGAAAAAACCACTGGAGTTCAATATGCTTACAAATATTCAATTACCAAATTTTATATTTACTTACCTACTTACGTCTGTTGCCCCTCGATGAGGAGCCTAGGCCTCCCACAAGCACTCTTCATCCAACCCTGTCCTGGGCAATCCTTTCCAGTTCTTTCTGGTTGTTATTCATCCCTTTCATGTCTGCTTCCGATTCTCGGTGAAGAGTGTTCTTTGGCCTACCTCTTTTCCGTTTTCCTTCAGGATTCCAGGTTAGTTCATGCCTCATACCGCAGATTGATGATTTCCGTAGTGTATGTCCTATCCATACCCAACGTCTTTTCCTAATTTCCGCTTCGGCTGGAAACTGGTTTGTTTTCTCTGCTTTCCCGCTCTTGATTTGTCTGATGGCCATCTTGATTTTTTCCGTCGTTGGTGGAGTTACATCTATAAGAAGGTTTGTGTGTGCTGCTTCGATGCCCGGTGGATTTAATGGAGCTGGTCTATTCAAGAGTTCCTCGAAGTATTCTAACCATTTTTTCCCTCTGTTCTTGAATCTCGGCTATCGGTTTACTTTCTTTGTCCTTGACCGATCTCTCTGGTTCACTATATTTCCCTGCTAGTTTCTTCGTTGTGTCATACAGCTGTCACATAGTTCCTTCTCTTGCAAATTTTTCCGCTAGCTCTTCCACTTGCTTGTTTGCTTCTGTGTATTCAGCTTGTGCCTTTACCGTCTCTGTTCTTTTTCGGTTGCTGTTACTTGCTGTATTCTTGTTCTTTATTTCTTGAATCCTGTCGACAGCGATCCATTTTTTATAATTCTTCTTGAGGCCCAGCACCTCCCGACATGTTGAAGTTAATCCTTTTATGATCCTTTTACAGTTGTCTTGCATAGTAGTTTTTCAGTAGATCCTGTAAGGCTTGGAACTTGCTGTTGAGAGCTAGCTTGAATCCATTGAGTTTGTTAGTGTCTCGTGAGAAGGCTGTATTGCTGTTTGTCCAGTTGTCCAATGATTCTTTGACTTCAGTTTCATCTTGACAACCACCTTGTGGTTATCTAAAGCTATGTCAGCCCCCCTCCTGGTTCTCACATCTTCGACTATCCTTCGGAATTTTTTATTGGTGTAAACATGATCTATCTGGTTCTCGTGGTGTGGTCCGGTGAGGTCCATGTAGCTTTGTGTATGCATTCGCGTGAGAATATTGTGTCACCAAAAACCATTTTGTTGAATGCACATGAATTTGCTAATCTGTCACCATTCTCATTCCTTTCTCCCAGTCGGTCCATGACCTACCATGACATCTGGGTACCTTGTGTTGTCCATCCCAATTTTGGCGTTTGGGTTTCCCATCAGGATGGTCAGATACTTTCCTAAGCACTTCGCTATGATCAGCTGCATTCTCTCATAAAGTTGATATTTGTCGTTGTCGTTGCAGTCATTGGTTGGCGCTTAACACTGGATAACATTTGTTGTGATTCCCTCCTCCTTTGTTCTGAAAAATGCTTTGGTGATCCTGGCTTCATGAGATTCACATTGATTAAGTGGTTGTCGTGCTTCTTTGGACAGCATTAGGATAACTTCCCTAGTGTGCGCAGCATTTTGTTCTTCGTGACACGAGTTCAGAAGCATCTCCCGAATCTATCCTTTCCTGTCCAGCTTGAGTCCAATGGGTTCCACTTATTCCGAGCACTGCCAAGTTGTATCTCCTCATTTCCACAGTTATTTGACTGAACCTATCGGTCTCCTAGATTGTCCGAACGTTCCATGCACCTATAAAAATATTGCTGTGGTTGTTAGAAGCATCGACCTCGTGACTTTCGAAGAATTTTGGCTTTCATCATGAGACGTCATAGTTCTTCCTTGAACTCCCAGGATAGTGTTTAAATGGTTTAATTTGTTTAATCCGGTTGCCGTTTTTTTTAGCAAGATTTCTTTTTATGTGATGGGGTTGCCGACACCATGCCTAACCCTCTCTTTTTAAATGGGCTTGGGACCGACAGTAACTCTAGGAGAGCTACAGCTAATAAGAATATCAAGAGTTTTATGCACATTTAGGCAACTGAAATACCGTTTTGTTTTGAAAATATCCAAATGTAGCTGAGGGATTCAGTGACACACACACGAGTGTAGATATCAAGTTTGGTGCTATAAGAGGTGTGCGTTTCTGGGTTTTTGAAATGTGCCACATTCAAAAATATAATCAGATAGGTTAATAATGAACTGTACTAATGGGTTATATATAACCTTTTATATTTTAGCTGTCACTGTAATCATATTCATCGATTCGTACTACTGTTTTCACATGTAAATGATCTTTTATTTGTTTCTATTACTTAATATTCTGCTACTGAATGTTCTGCTTTTCATTTCTTTTTAAAATATGTACGTAGACTTGAACATGAAACATGAAACATTTCCGTTCAAATGTTTAAGGAATATGAAACTTAACCTTTTTGGTTTCACGTAATTTTATTTCAGAAATCAACAAACAACCAATCAAAACAATCTGCGGGAATAATACTTTCTCTCTGTCATCTATTTTATCTCATAAATTCATGCAATTATATTAATGAAAATATTAGTCAGCTGTGCAATTAACTGTAGTTTGATCGAATATTTCACACTGATCATAAATTATATCCTTGGTAGTCAGACTTATGTTTGCACTCATGTATTATGAAATTTATTTTCGACCAGACCAGTGAACTTTGATCGTAGATTCTAATCTATCAGTCCTACTCGGATTATGTACAGAAAATTGCTTTCTCTGTTACCCGACACTCCCTTCACTTGAATATATCACCCCTTTCACTGAATATATTTAACCAATAAAAAGCTAACGATGATTTGTATGTCCACACATTTCTCCGCATTCTTCACAGTTATACACTTTTTTCTTATATGCGAAGGCAAGATATAGAGAGATAGAGAAAACAAGCGAGCACATTGGAATCGAAATTTAAAAATAACCTGAAAGATAAATTACTAGTGTTGTTCACTCTCTCTCTCTCTCTCTTCATAGACATATACATATTTACGCACATGATAAGCGTATACACACGCAAACATTGCGTAAATCTACAAATCTTAAACATCTGTTCGATTCATCGAGGATACACATATAGGTATAGGTATACGATCAATCCTAAGCTTGACAAGAATGTAAACTTTCAAGCAAACATGATAATGGGGTGGAGAAAACAATGGAAAATCGTTCAAACGAGTAGCGAATAAATGAATTGAATGAGCAATAGATGAATGAGTGAATAAATAAGAGAGTAATGGTGGACAAATTGAGTGAACCATCACAATATTTAAAACTGTTTAAGTAATTAAGTTATTGAACGAATAAATACTAATAAAATGTGCACAAATGTGTGTTGTATGTATGTATAAATATTTTTGTATTTACGTATTATCACAATACAAGATGTTATTTAACACACGAAAACATTCATTTTCATTTGAACTATCGCTGACATTCATCTGTACAACAAAACTACTCGGATTTGTACTCATCATTTGGATAATAATCTTAACAGTAAAGTAAGTTTATAAAGTAACTCGTGGAAATAAAAACTATTATTATTATTATTATTATTATTATAAAATCGTATTATCTCTTATTTTTCTCAATTAACCTACAGTTCAATTAGACGATCTTAACGAAATTATAAAACTATTAATACACTTTAGTCGATTGATAGGGATTGGAAACAATCAAGAATTTAATAATAATAATATATACACTGTTCAGGATAGTTAGTTTACGTTCTACTACGGTAGATAATAATTAAATCTTTGTGATCAACATGAAACACATACGAATATTTCGGCAATCTAAGATTTATAAACAATACATAATCTCAGTGAAATGATTATGGAACAAGAGTTTATAATGGTTACAAAGTCAATAAGAATCCCTGAAAGGTTAATGAAGTCACTGTAATGTTTAAGGAGTATTTATTAGATTTTGAAAAGTTTTATTGGTAATCTGGTGACATATACTTTGCTTATTAAAGATGAGTGTTTCTCATTTGTTATTATATTAACTTTAAATTGAAATGGGAACTGTCTTTGAGATCATAAGTAATCCCTGATGTTTTCTTTTAATTACTGCGGTTCGTGTTAATCATGTGTATTAATTAATTCGTCTGTTTGATGAACAAGAGGATTTCTGCACCACAATGTAGATAGGTTGCATCAGTTGTTAGTTTCTTTAGGATATAATTCCCTTATGCAGAATAAAAGTCTTTATTTTTACTCATTTCTAACTAATCTGGAATCAGTCTAGAGAAAAAAATTCTTCGACAAGTATTATTATTCTTTATCATACTGATCCAATCACTGATACACGAAATCCGTGGATATGACGCACAGTGAACTGCGTGGTTTAATAATTATTAGTTGACTATCTCTAGAAATAATAAGATGTAAATTTAAAGATCACAATTAAGAAAAAAGAATTTCCTCTGCCTTGTATAAAGCAAGTTTTATGTTTTATTCCAAGATATGAATGTAATCCATTTTCGTCAGTTATCATTAGGTGGCTAACTTACACTTGTACGGCAACACATATTCATTCGAACTCCACTCAGTGAGGTACATTTTTTTATCGCACTCTAAATTTTCATGCCTAAACACTTTCTCAACGCTTTAAAAGTCAAGACTTCATCAATTCCCATACAACAAATGAAATCCAAATTCTTCTATATTGCCATTAAATGGTAAATTAATGACTACTTATTGACTTTTATACACAACGTGATCTTGTTATCCACATGTAATGGATAGTTAATACTATTACTCCTAAATAAGCAAATAGCTAATTAGTAATAAGTTTTGCATAACATGAAAGACTTTCTGTGTCATCCATTAGATAAATCATAATATCTAGTATTATTTATAACAATTTCATGCTAAATAGTTGTTAGTTAAATAGAATATCAATTGCATGGATAGAATTACAAGATTAAGAAGACAGTATATATCTGTCTGTAGATAGGGTAGACAGAGTTCATTTATGTTGAACGTTATGATACACAGTAATGGATTGAAAATGTGATGGAATATGATAAAATTTGAAGAATCTATTACATAAATAAGTAGCGTTCTCTTAATACGTACGTAAAAAGTCTTGTCTTTTTTCCCTTAACCATTAGAAAGTATTTTACCTTTACAACTGGTATCAGTCATTTATCAATCTATCAACCAGCATGAAGCAACACGGAACATTCAGTTCCACTTTAGCTAAAGTGTATCGGTACACTCGGTTAACTTCTGAACAATATGTATTGTATCTAGGGAAATTTTAAGTATCACAGTAAACTTGCAAATATATCTTTTTTTGTCTCTTAAACTTACTCATTTCAATTAATGATTCAATTTTAGTATGAAGTAAGCAAAACCGTCTATTATAAAGATTGAATGGATTATTAAGAAAACATGAGTGAAACACTCATGGAATTCGTTTAAATCGTTACAGCTTATACGAGAGAATTCACAGACTTTATATTTTTCCAATAAATACCAAAGATTGGATTACATATTGTAATTAAATCTAAAACTCGTACTGAAGTAATTAAACTTCATTTTGGTAACAAGAACTTCTGTTCACATTGTAAAGACTTCTTTCCTGTTACTAATAAAACAAGGTAGATGTAAATCAATCGATCAATCTAGTTTTCAACTGCTTATGAGTAATGTTATTAATGGAATTTTTATAATTTCCCTTTTTTATATTTAGAAAATACTTGTCCGAACTTAAAGAAAATCTAATACTAGTATCTCAATTTCAATGTTAACTCATACAGAATCAATAATTAGTCCACTAATTTGCCATAATTACAATCTGTTTAATAAACAAACTCACATGTACCACCCTATTATATCTGACAGTTCCACTCTACACAGTAATCAAATAGCCTCTTGTACAACTATTCATAAAAACAATAACAGTGATAGTATTAACACTGCTAACATAAACGATAATTCCAATAGGAATAATTTACATTTCAGAAATAAGCCTGATTACACAGAAATAGATGAGATACGAACATTGACAGCATCAGAGTCATTAAAGAACATGTGTCAGTCTTTTGATTTGAGAACAAAACAGCTGAATAATGGTAATGATAACAATGATCATCGTCAAAGTAATGAATCGCAGTATTATCAGTCAATGCAGTATTTAAACTCATGCCTATTTAAGTCACTACAATTAAATTTCGCATCATCCAATGAAGCGTGCCACGGCTATAATCATCAAAACAATGAAACAAATGAGAAAATTTCATCGGATTATACAACAAACAAGTTATCGCATGCATCAAGAATGAGAAATAATGAAACTTTAAAAGATAGTCTATCAGCATCAGCTATTCCAGTCAGAACGTCACCATCTCTGTCAACATCCTTACCTGTTTCACTCTCATCATCTAGTATACATTCATCATTGTATAGTGAATCAAATGGGGTCCAACTTCCAATGAGCGATTTATTCTCTTATAAACAAGGAAGAGATGAAATATTTAATAAACTTGAAACGGTGAATGAATCAGTAAATGTAAGTTTATTTGTGCATGGACAGTTTGGTTTACTCTTGTCTTTATTGTTATCTCAATTTTATTGCAACATATACTGAAAATAATACAAGTAGACTATTCTCTAAAATGTTAGTGTTTCACAGGTAGTACATTGGCTTTTCATTCTGGAAATGAGTCGAAATTGTAGGGTTTCCAACTGAAGCATTATAGGACAGATGTAAATATTGAATTTATTTCTTCAGATTATTCACATTATCCATATGCACCAATATTTTGACCTCATAATTAAAGACACAAGTTACTCAACTATAGATGGAATCGATAACAGAAAATACTCTCAAATCAAACTTAAATTTAATGATAGTTTGATTTTGATGATGAGGATTATGAGAACTTTTGAGCTCTGTATATCACAGTAAGTATCAGTAGAAGACCTGGACGATAGTAGTTCCTGCCGGTTGTTTGTGTGAATAAGAGAAACTAAACTTTTTGTCTATTTTGAACTGAATTAGATACCCCCGAGAGTTAATTTTTGCTAAATAGATAGAGTTAGTTTTTGTTAAGACTCTTAACTCATTTTACTACCATTAACAAGACTAAAGTAAAAGTATTGGAATGACTAATAGAATACTTGTCAGATCATTATTTAATGCATTTTCATTTATATAATGTATCCATCACCAAAGAAGTGTTTGATTTAATACAAATTCATAATCTCTGCTTTATCTAAGTACAATCAATTATACTGTTTCGTGATCTGTCAAACTTTAAATTATTTTCATAAATTGTCATGACTATCCAACTGGTTTATTGGCAAAACAACCTTTACTTACTTCCCTACTTAATATTCAGAGCCCTCAGATGAGATCTAGACGACCAACAAGTATCCTGAATTGATCTCTGCCCCCATGCTTTCCTTTCCAGCTGGCTTCAAGTCAATTCCGTTGTTCTGTTGCGTTCTTCAGTCGTCATTTTTTTTAACACTACAACGTACATATTTATCACACGGTCAGAATTACAGTGATTAATAGCTAGATGTTCTCGTTGAATCAGGAAAACAACTATTTCTAGTTGAATGAAGAATTACTTTCAATTCATTCCAGAATGTAAGTCACACGTTACATATTGTATAAATAAAGTGATGGTAACCCATTGGACTGTCAAAATAGAAGTAAGTCTCGAAAGCTGAGGCTATTTCGATCATGAGCGACTTAGTAGGTTTATTATGATATTGTACTTTAAAATCAATCTAATTCTGGTTGAGTAAGAAGAGGGTTTTAATTAGGATAGTGGTAAATTAACAGACGTTACCATTCAAATTTACACTTTGTTGATTAACGTTGAATAATTTTTAAATAAATCTTCTCAAGTAATCAGTCTACTATGTATACAGTTGGATTGGAATGAGATTGTCAAATGATTTATTGTCGTGTTATTTAGATTTAATTATATTTTCTTTCCCGGTTTTATTTGATAATAACTTAATGAACAGGTGAAACGAATTGTCAATTGAAATTTAAGACAACTACAGTATTGTGTTAATGAAGCGTAGTAATTTATTAGGTATTTAACCATGAATAAGTTTGTTTTTTTCTCTTTCCATAACAATCAATTCATTCCATATGTTTTTTGAACTTTAAACATTGACCTTCATCCTTTTTATTTTTTTTTAAAAAAATTATAAATTATGATCATCATAACAACGAAGCCAGTTATTATTCAATCATCCATTCACCTCAGTTGTGATTAGTTAAGTAATTGAAATTAAAACTCTCTTCTTTTAATCATTCATTTAATGTAGCATTTTAAGTTATTGATGAGTATATCTATATCTCAATCAATTAACCTTTATTCTATTTGTCATTTATCAAATCATTTCATTAATTCTATGGACTAAGAGAAATTCAATAAATAACTGGAACACTGTGACTGTATAATAACGATTTCACTATTATGTTCTAAATATTATGGTATTTTCTGAAACACCTAAAATGTGGATGATTAGACTGTTTTACATTAGTTTCTTATCATGAATCTAATTGGATGATTAGACTTGAAATTTGTTTTGTTTGTGTAATGAAACTGATAATTATAGGTAAACTTATAACCGATACATATTTAAATAAAATGTTAATTTGATATCGGTACTATTAACTAATGATTTATTCATCACTTGCCATACATCTGATAACTTTAGTGAGATATGAAAGTGGGATATAGAAGAAAAAAGACTAATTACAATCATCAGTAATCGAAAACTCAATAGTACAATATGTTTCTAGTGAAGAATATTATTAATCATTTTTTTAGATTATGAGAAAGGAAAATTATGAATTTAAATTAGATTACAGCTAACACTGAAGTTCAGGACGCGTGTTCCACCCTATTTGGAACCAGTGAGCTGGATGTGCCTGATTTCCTGCGTTTATGTTAAGAGTGAGATCCGGTGTTGTTAAAACTTGTCACTAAATATCACTACTGAGGTTGTCTGCACAGAATACATATATGCCTATAGGAACTGATTAATTACCATCTATAAAATCTACAACAAGTAAATGCTATACCTTAAAAATCACTTCACATTCATTGGAAAAATTAGTGATTATCTATACTCAGTAGCTAACTAGATAAGAAAGTATTAGGTACTGGATTCGAAATTTTGTGTGTTTCATTACTGAGATTCTGGAAAATTAGTTGACGAGTCCCATATAGGACGGAACACAATTTCTGGATCCAATTACTAGCTAAAATTTAACTGGATCAAAGCTTTTGACTAGATAGTAACGTCGACATAACACATTTTGGGTGTACATATGCCAATAGAGCTGAACCCCAGTCATTACAGTAGCTTAGTCTAGTAAACATTTTTAAAAAATGGTGCATGAACCTCAGGTTGAACTAAATTGATCAAATTGTTGAAAATGGGTCTTATTTTAACTGTTAAAAACTCAAAGTGAGTAAGTGAACAAATCATGAATAGCGTATATCCATAAGGGTATTTATTAAAAATTCTGGATTCGATTCAACTAAGATCAGGAATACAGGTTTGATGTATTGTGTATAAGTTAATGGTATTTATGTGAAGCATGCGAAGGAAGCAACAATAGAATTCTCAGTAATAATAATAGCATAGGATTATAGAACGGTTAACTTCATATGAATTATACCTAAATTACGATATTTGAAAATGAGATTTTACCTTGGTAAATTTTAATACTTTTAAAAGCGTATAGTTTATCCAATTCATAATCAGTTAATGTAAGAAATGCGTTTCATGAAATCTTGCACAGTTCAGTATTAGATAGTAAAAACGATGCGTAAAAATTAAAATGGATTATATCATGAAATTTAGAAACTAATATGGCAGTTTCATTCCTTCCCGCTGATGTCATTTAGGTAATTATTTAATTCAATCATAATTTTATTTCATTGTAAACACGAAAAACCAAACGGAATGTTTACTCTGTTTCTTTACTTCTGTTTCCGTGTAAATGTAAATGAAAGTCCTGACAACAACAACGAAAACCATTTGTTAGCCTATTTTCTTGCTTGTTCCATTCATGCCCCCCCTTTCTCTTCATTAGTGTCATACTTTGATCTTCTCATATCACAAATAACACAAAAGAGCTAAATAAACGGTACGTAAAGTAATCAACAGAGAACATTCAACCAAATGGACAGTCATTAACTAATTGTCGAATTAAATCACATATTAAATAATCATCTCATTGACCACTTTCCTTAAAGACATGTTAACATATTGTTGTGATACTTTGGCTTCTGGTGGCAACTATAATGGTAAGAGAAAGAGCATGGATTAAGAAAGGTGGTAGGACATAGTTGCGTGATCAACTTTCTTTTAATTAATTGAATAATTATACCCTTCTCAAATAATTGATTAACTTGAGTCACAGTGGTATTGTACCTCACTAAAGACTAGATTTATTATATTTGTTACCTAGCTATAGAGGCGGATTTTTAAAAAAAATTTAAGTTTTGAGACCTAGCAGGAGGTGGACAATTGACAAGATGGTCAGATTAGTGATTAATAATTGTTTGCATTAGTGGTACGAAATGTTGAAGTAGATATCATTCTATCATGATGGTCACACTAGTTATATTAACAAATTTTTTACTCATTATTTACACATCACTGAAGTTAAATATACAACTGAATGACCTGGACAGTCGTGAACTGTTGATTTTTGGGTGAATTAGATCACTGACCATCAACACAAAAAATATATTTCATACAGCATAGTTAAACGTCCTCATATTCTTAGTGAAACTATATGCTTAAATGAAAGAAATCACTTCATTTTTACCGTTTTTTTTAATAGTTAAAATTAAGGAGTACTTATTCATGATTAGTGGTAGTTATTATCTCACTAATATGTGTTTTCTCATTAACTACTGATTAGAAAATGTGATGTCTTTATATGCGAATACATGCATCATCTAGTGATTAAGACATTTGCTGTAATTCTAGTTAACTAACATGCATCACAGATATTTTTCATACTGTGTGAGGACATTTGAAAAAATGTACCTGGTTTGAAATTTTTCTACATTTTTCAACGTTATTTTTTTCATTATTCCATATCAGAGATCTTTGTGTGTGTGTGTGTGTGTAAAATTCATTAATGAAGTGTTCCAGATTTAGTTCAAAACAGTAGGGAAATATATTTTTTATTAAACTAAGTTATGAAGATAAATTTCACGAATTTCATTTACTAAAATATAAGCACATTATACCTCTCAAAAAGTTATAAATTTATGGTTTAGTCGTAACGTCTCTGGTTGAGACACCGAGTGATACAGATCCGAGTAATTGAGGAGATCCCATTATCTCTTTTGAGATCATGGCTATTGTCTTACTAATAATGAATTCCAATGTCAGATGAAGGCTGTTTGCAGAAACTTGATTAAAATTCCAATTTGATAACAGACATATGATCGGAATCATAAATAACAAATATTCATTAAACTTAGTGATTATTAGAGTTAGACATTCTTTTACTTACTGTATCATTGACCTGTCCCATAATATTTACTTTACATTCAGAACAAGATAAATTATTGTTTAATGCATTTAACAAAATTCACTAAAAGAGAATTTTATTAACAAAGACTTATCTCTTAAAAATGAAACGATTTTTTTGGCCACAAACGGTTGTTGTTTAGCTAATATTATTTGTTTAAAAAAATAACAATGTAGAACAAAGTCAATGATTATCGAAGTTTGTTGCCGGGCTCGAATGACAACAAGTTGTTGTTATCGTTATTTCAATTTGGCTATATCACATGTGCACGCCATCTGCGAACTTATTTACATTAAAAATAAAATTAATTTTGTCAGTTTATTATTCACTGCTATAATAATCAACACTGATTGATTTATTGAGTTATAATGACTTTCAAAGGCTTGGTTATACAAAAAACAAACACAAAAAGACTATTCATTTCGACTAGTCTTATCTCTGTATCCATTGACAAAAAAAACCAGTGAATTTTCTCCCCCCTCTATCGTTTTCTCGTTTGCTTTTTTGGATGTGTATATACGCAAACACACTTTTACGCTTAATTATTGTAAGCAGAGAAATAAAGTAAAAACAACTGAACATATTTTCAGTTCTTATTTGTGAATTAAATGAGGCTTGTTCAATTAAATACATAGCTAAACTCGATTAGTCAGTAAATCAATCTGTTGACTGGGTATTAAGTCACTTGACTTGACAACAACAATAAACAAACAGCACAACTTTTCTGTTTTGGCAGTTTTTTTTTCTGATTGTAAATGGAATGATGGGTAATGATTTTATTATCATGATTGACCATATAGTGAATGACCCAGTGGAATTAACCAAAAAATGGATTGAACTAAAAAACGTGAGGTTCATTCCGAGATTTGAATATTCCGTTTAAAGTATCAGATTTATTTTTACACAAAAAAATATTTCATATATTCAGCATAATACATAACTTTAAAATAATTTCAGTGATTAAAATCATGAGTCAGCTGAAGCTAGACCATCATGAGAAACTTGGAAGCACTGGAGGTGGTTGTCTAGCTTCAACTGACTCATGATCTTAACCATTGAAATTACTATAATATTCACAAAACCCATCTGATAATAACGTTAAAATAGTTGACTGATTTTATTTAGCCGAGAAAGTACACAATCCCTGAGCGTGTCAAGTCGGTAATTACAAATAGTTTATTAAATTTAGCATAAATAATCATATTTCAATGCAGAAAAATAAATCATACGAAAGTAGAAAATTTTAAATAGAAAAGGAATTGGTATGAGAAGGGAAATACAGAGAAAGAGTTCTAGAACAATAATAAATAATACTAGAAATCACAAACAACTAGCATTTGTTCACTCCATAATAGTTGTAATCAGGTGTTAAATAATCATAATAAATGATGAATTAGTGATTTTAATGTGAAGATTGGGGCTATAGATTTAACTATTCTGAAATTACTGCTAATGATTTAATTGAAAACTAAGATTCATCAACACTTTTGATCGTCAATCAATGTTTTCAAGCCATACAAAATCTTAGTGAAAAAGATTCGAAAATCAAGAATGTTACATGATTTTGCGGAAGAAAAAACACGAAGTCTCAAATATGTATTTTTTTTCAATTCACCATAATGTAAACCATTAAGGAGTTGATAGCTTAATTTTGAACACATTTCTACTTAGGCACAACTCTTTGGTAGGATATGAAAATTTTGCCATTGAAATAAGAAGAATTCAGTTGAAATATTCCAATCCTCAGACAATTAGTATTTATCATCATCTCTTCAACATAATCATCCTACTTTTAAATTAACTTCACTGATAATTACTTAATGAATTAATTTATTTGTAAATAATTCATTTCGACAATTGATTGAATGGGATTTCAGTTCTATGATTATTTTCTTCAATAAAATTAAATCTCTTTTCCTTCGAATATCATCTAGATGCATTCTATAGACTAATGATCTGACAATGAATGTAACATCTAATCAAGGCAATATAAATTTGAAAATTATTTTATTAGTCAACAAATAATCTGCATATATTTTAATTTAACTTGAATGTGTTACATTTCTCAAGTAAAACAAAAGATGATGAGTTTCTTTATTTATGGTCATTTTTGTTATTATTCTCCTTATTTATTTTTTGCATAAGACATATCACTTCTGTCAGAGTGTTAGAATCCATAAATTATAAAAGTATCCCTTTTGTAGATAAATTGAATTTGTCTTAAGGCAGAAACAGTAAGAGATAGACAGTGTCCATGTGTGTGCATGTGTGTGTGTGAGAGAGAGAGAAAGAGAGAGAGGGAGGGAGAGACAGAGGAATCAACTTGTGACAAGAAATAATTTTAATTAGAAATTCTTTTGAATGTTATGTTTGTATACTTTTTATATTAGTTTGCAATTTCTCATCAAAATAGTTTATTTATTTCACATCATAAATTAAAAGGTGAAAACTGGGCCAATAGGCTAAAAAGAATAATTTCTTTAAATATATTTTGGTTTTCACTTTAAGATCTGTGCTTAAGTATAAAAAAGAACTGTTACTTATAGAATATAGGTTGAGGATGAGATTGGAATATAAATCTGTATACGGAGGATGGGAGGACAATAGGGAATGTGTCAGACTGTATTTAAGGCCAAGAATGGAAGTAAAACTATACATAAATTTGTTTTCTTGTTCGTTTAATAATTAAAAAAAAACAAATTTGTCAGACATAATGTTACATAATTATAGCTTATTATTTATATTCATATTGTTGGGGACGATAGATCCCCAAACTCATATTTTTAAAATTTTATTGTATCGATCAACTTATTGATTAAATGTTTAAATATTTGTATTGGGGTCATTTGATGAACTGATCGATTAAAAGTTTGTATAGCAGTCAGTTGATGAACCTATCAATTGGATGTGCAAGTAGGTCAATTGATGAACTATCGATTAATGTGCAAATAGGTCAATTTATGAACTCATTGATTAGTGTTTACAATTTTCCTATGACAATATCGATTGTAAATATTGTATAAATACGCGTGAGTTGTGTGTTTGACTTGACTTGTTCGCTACTGTTCGCTGCTGCTTGCTTGCTTGCTTGCTCGCTCGTTTGCTGGTTGTATGCAGAATATATTTTCCATACCAAGCCTGGACTTCTCCTTCTAGTTAGCGGGGCTGGGACGCGTCAATAATTAGATTACTGGTCTTTGGTCACTGAGTATTGTTCTCGTTCGCAGTCTAAGTGAATCCGTGGAGCTTCAAACTTAACACATATAACAAAATGGAATCAAATGCTGTTCATTAACTTTACTCCTTCTAAAAAAATTTGGTGAAAGACTATAGATACTAACTCTAGATGATGTAAACGTAATGGAAGAAACTAACAACTAAAAGAATAAATACTATGGTTACATTGGTCGTAAAATGTCAGTTTCACCTTGAGGACATTTCTGTGTTAGGTCAGATATACAAACAACATTAACAGAGATAATGTGAAGATGTAATGAGAGCACAATCGGTTTGAAAAACTACTAGAATGACTTAGGTGACCAAACCGGTATTCCAGTCAAAGACAAAATGCCTAACCAAGCCATTCTAATTATTTATTTATCAGATCACTGGTAACTTATTGATAATAAACCTGAAGCAATGAAAATAACTAAGGAGGGCATACTTCTGCTTGTTACATCAAAACACTTTTATCCATAATGAGTTGAATGTGAATAAATTTGTTAGTCTCAACTTGCTGTTTTGTCCAGGGAGGAATGTTTTGTTATAGTTATTCTGAAATTACATTTTTATACCTTATTTATTTAATAAATCAGATCCAATTCAACAGATACAAATGATTCATTTAGATATTATATTATGAAACTCCATAGATATGAACACATTTATCGATTGTAATTCAACTCGGCTCTTCAGAACGGCCACTAAATTTCGTATTTCTGGAATGAATTTGGATCTTTCACCGAGTAAATGAACAGCTATAAACATACTAATCACTCACAAGGCTACATGATTTGCAGTTGATATCATGCTCTAAAACCTAATACCTGAATAAAGGTATTCCTTTAGGAGCCCAATTTTTCCACAGAAATAATAAATTCCTATTACTTTTTATTTTATCATGTTCATTATTGGTTATTCTGTACTCTTTTGTAAGGAGACTTTGTATATTATTGTGTAGACTACTTCTCCAATAAAGTGATCAATTTTCAACTTATTCTTTTTGTTACTGTTTTTTATTTACAGGAATGTCAGAATTCTCTTACGGAAGATCTCTCGCTTATGTTGAATTTCCCTGATTCAATTTCAGATGGTAATCAGTCTTCAAACCACTCATTGAATAATAATAATAATCACATCAGTAATAACAACAATATTATCCATCATACAGATGAAATAAAAACCAACTTAACTTACACAATTGATCGAATTTTGTTATCGGAACGCGAATCACCAAACTCTGATTTGTTATTGAGTGTATCAAATCACTTAACTAATACACTGACAGATTCAAGCCACACAAAAAATTTAACTCAGTTTAATTCCGATAATGTTAATACTGGAAATCAGAGTTACGTAAACAATGAATGGCTTTCTACTGACCAGTTAATTAATGGCTCTAATTCTACTAATAATTGTAGACCAACACAACCATTCTTTTCATCTTCATTGGCTGAACAGTCATCATTGTCTTCTTCGTCATGTTCACAAACAGGTTTTCAGTTTTGGTTTAGTATATTTTATAAACTATGGTTGGAACAATTCAATCAAGTTCAATCAAAACCAATTGATTTCAGTCAGTCTGTGTCAGGGATGAGTTCGAAGAAAACAGATGAAATTCAGCTTAAATCATTTCCGTTTAGTAATAACATAAATATTCATGCTGATAACGGTAGTGATAGTTTTCTATTTAATTCATCAATACATCCTTCAGTGAATACATCGAATGATTTTCGGACGTTAGAAAGTTTTACAGAAAATCTTTTTGTGAAACCGTCTCACATGAAAGAGGATTCTTATCACCGATCAGATTCATTGTCTTTAAACACTAATTCTACACTGTCCCCTCAATCATGTTGCATTACAAATGATGTCAACAACAATAAACGTAATCAAAACGATAACTTGAATGCTGACTCTGAATACAAACAACAACCCTTATACAGAATGTGCGAAAATGGTACAAATCTAAATACAGCACACTTTAGTGATTTAAAAAATATTTCCCAGTCAGTTTCTCAACCTCCTCAATCAAAAACGAGTAACAGTCCGGATAAAAATGAATATGATTATCCTCATAACTTATTTTCATTTCAGATGAATAAAATCACAACTCCTTGTAGTAATCCTTTGATGACAATATTAACACCATGTACGAAGAAATATAGTGAGCACCACTATAATTACCCACTACCTACTTCAAGTCACTCTCTTCCTTCTCAATCGATAACATCGACTGAAAACTCAAAATACTCAGTAAATGTTGTACACAAGTCATCGATTTTATCTAACTATAGATTACATTCAAACTATTCAAGACTACGTGGAAAATCCGTGATTAGTGGTAACATTTCAAACGATAACTTACAACAACGTGGGTACCGAGCTTTACCATTCCCATTAACAAAACGCGATGGTCGGATGCATTACGAATGTAATATATGTCGCAAAACTTTTGGACAATTATCTAATTTAAAAGTGCATTTACGTACACATACAGGTGAAAGACCATTCCGTTGTGATACATGCCATAAGGGCTTTACACAGTTAGCTCATTTACAGAAGCACAATTTAGTACATACCGGTGAAAAACCACATCAATGTACAGTGTGCGGGAAACGTTTTAGCAGCACAAGTAACTTAAAAACACATTTGCGACTACATAGTGGTGAAAAACCATTTGCGTGTAAGTTATGTACAGCCAAATTTAGTCAATTTATTCATCTAAAATTACATCGGCGTTTACACGCAAACGAAAGACCATTTATCTGCCCAAGATGTCATCATAAATTTCTCGATTCAAAAGGACTGAAGCAACACTGGAGACGAGGAATCTGTTATTCTTGTGAAGAATTACCTCCAGGTAACTGGAGTGATATGGATGGTGATGAGGATGTTACTGAAACTCAAGTCAGAAAAACACCCTCAGTAAGTTCCAGTAATCACCGACAACAACAGCACAAGCGTTCAAATAGAATTTGTGATGTGGACATTACGGATGACAGTGATATTAGCCACATTACTTCCACTACTACTGATAAAGGAACTATTAAAAGACGCCATTTTCCCACAAATATGATTCCAATGTATATAGCACCATAAAAATGTGAAAGGGATATACCTCTAGTTCCTAGGTGTGATAATTCTGTGAAGGTTATCGAAATTGTCATGAATACTTCAAAACAGATTTTTAACTTACACTGAAATTCTAAATGACACGGGTACACCTTTTTAAAAATATGGCTGTGTAACATAAAAACATATTTTCAATTCTTGAAAGAAAGACAAAACTTTTCCAATCTTATATAGCTAAACAAATAATATATTCAAATACCTAACTGTATATTATTTAAACTAGCAAACACTTGCGTATATTGTGTAATTTTGGAGTGAAATATAGTATATTTTGTTAAGTGGTTCTGTTGATTTGGGATTTCAAAGAAACTTGTGAATATACAGTAGCAGAATATTGAGATTTAAGAAAAACAAAATAATTCCGACTATTATGAATACAGATTTCTGAGGTTTCGGTGAGAATCTATTGCTCTAAGGATTAGCCTGACATACTACCATAATAGCTGTTATCTTATTCAATCTTTCTAAGGGTCATGAATTTATGATTCCTCGACTAAACAGGAAAAAAACAGAAGGGGGAAGCATAATGGATAAGAAGTGCTAAGTTGTGAATGAAGAAAAGTGTAACTTAATAAATGACAGAGTTTACACAATATTCAGAACACTCTTTGAAATATCAAACTTAATTTGTTCAAACACTGAAAGACAGAGTGAGACGTTGTTATGTTTGCTTATAACCATATTAGCTGGTTATTTGTTTGATATAAAATCACTAAAATGGCCACGAAAGTACAATCTCTGTAGCTTTGTCGTACACGAATTGGAATTTAAACCCACTCACCAAAACATACATGTAATTTCTAAATATCGTTTACTTTTAAAAGCTACTTCTTGACTAATATATTTGGCCTGTTCATTCACCACTCAACAACCATATTTATTCCATGTTGGAGAATTCTAGCACATGAATTTGATTCCGTGACAAAAATTTTCCCTCATTTAATTTACTCATAATAGTTTAGCTGTGAGCATCCAGCATTTTCACGAAGTACGTTTACAAATCATAGGTATAAACCGAACACAACGTGTTCTAAGATTCCTAGACAAAGTTTCTGAAATATTTTGCCTTTCGTTATCACCTTTGTTACCTGTGTAATCTAGAGCTAAAAGCTGGTCGACAGAAAAGTTATTTTCAGAACCACATTTGAGCTGTGTGCCCACGATAAACAGCACTCAATAATCAGTGAAAATGATGGGTTCCATCCGCTTGCACAGCACTTAGTAATTTAAAGTGGATCTTCGAAATCAGGACTAACCATACTTTAGCCACTGAACGAGAAAAATTGCCACATGATGACTCCATAGAATAAGTCAACTGGAATCTTCATATCATAGAATATAGGTTAACATAAAGGGGTAGTATGATTATGTTATTAAATTTGATAGACATTTAAATGAAACATCTCCGAAAATGTCAGCAGTCTACCTTATTCCCTATAATTTTGAAGTCTTTAAGAATGACTGAGCCTCTAATAATCATTGCCGGACCTTAAAAAATAAGACGGACCTTTACCATCCTAGTGGTCGCGAAAGTTATTTTGACATTTCTTATAATTTGGGATTCTGAAGATAATTAGTCTAATTACTAGTGCCTAATTGTTACCACTGAATAAATTCACGAGCAACCAATCAATGTTCCTTTGGCCTATTCTCGTCTTTTAACAACCAGATTCACTAAACTCTGGCTAGGCAGAGAGAGACTAGGCATTGAACCAACAACGAATGAAGTGTTTTTGTTCTGTTATCCTCACCCGACTGTCGCTGCTATGTTGACGTGGTGGTCGGGCTCGCCAATCATGATGAACCAACCGGGCTATACTGGCTAAAACAATCGTTCCTCAAGGTCCTACCATGCCAGGCAGGTTGGTTCAAGAACAGCAAGACTAATAGCAGCAAACCCAAGGACCGAGGGTGAAGTCGTTCTGCTGACTGTACAGAAGTGTGATGGCACTAAGGTGTTTCCTTCAGACAATCAGCCTAACAGCGATCCCGCCTTCACACAAGGAAGGATGGAGTTAGAAAAGATCGATCCTAAAAAGTCACACCTCGCCTTATCCCATAGATTCCAGTCTTCGGCAACGATGTCTCAGCAAGTACGGAGCTAAAAAAGGTCGTATGTGACCAGGCTCAAGCAGTTGTCCTTTGTGCACTGCGGTCACGCTCTAGGGTCGCTAAGACTAACTTCAACCTCATTTCCTTTTCAGAAACCTCTAGAAGAACCTTTCCACTGTTTAAGTAACTGGGGAGTGATAACCACCCTCATACCTCTAACAGCACCCAAGACCACTGTATTCATAATCAATTTCCATCTTCATAACCGCTGACTTATATCCCATGAGAAGAATCTCACTAAGTGATTCCTAAAAAAAGATAACATACCAAGAGATGATTGAAGCCCTTTAACAAATTATCGTTAGTAATCATCGTATAGGCTTTTAATAAGTTTACATTTCAGTAGTCTTAACTCTTGACCACACTTCCAATATCAGGACTAAGCATGAATACAAGCCACTGTAAATTTCAAGTGATGGACGAGATAACACTCATGTAGTTCTGATTATAAATTGTTGTCCAACTTAAGTTGCTTTGGGATATAAAGTACACTCGAATTAATACGAAATCCTAAAACCGTCAAGTACAGAAACAAAATGTGACACTGGAGCTCTGTGTTTCCTGCGGAAACCAAACCCACGATCTTTCGGCTCTCAAGGGAACGCTTAACCTATAGTCCACTAACCTGGGTCGGGATAGTAATGTAGGTTTGATAATTTATAGTCAGTATAAACATAAATTCATGTTATTTATAGTCGAAGTCTCTTATGTCCAACGAAACTGGAGTGTTACGGATAATCATTTACCTTGATACTTCTTTTCCAAAGTTGTGTAACCTAGTGTCAAACCAGCAATTATTTCGTAAAATCAAATGAAATGCACTACAGAGGACAGAGCACTAGTGATTCAAACCATACAGCTTTATGACCATGTATTTGGCTTCCATGATGTTTGTATTGTTTTGTACCAGTAGCTTTTACTGCAATACAGGTGCTGAACTCCACTTTCAATTCTTAGCCAAGTTACTGTAACGATAACAGAAAATGGAGAATTTCTCGGTGTTAGTGGATTGAGTGTATTCACTTCGTTCAACGTTTCTATTGTATATTAGTTGCAGAAACAACTGCAACGTGCTATTTCGTAAATTGTGAAGATAGTACGTTCATATAACGTTGAGAACTAACCCAAAGAAGAATACTCTCTCTCTCTCTCTCTTGGAAAAATGAATATATAGGGACGATATTTGGCATGTGGTGAATGTGGGTTTAAAAATTCAATGAACAAACCTATTCACTGATAGAATCAACGTTTGTTATTATACAAACAGATGAGTGTATTTGGTGGGTTCGTTTAATATTCACGTTAAGCTCCGTTCAAACTACGTTAGCCTTTAAGTTACAGGCTCTATCCTCATGTTTAAGAAATTTCAAATTACTAACCTTTTTACTTCGTCATAAATTAAATTTCTGTATTGTTATTTTCAATTCAGATGACTCAATATGAGAAGAAATACGTTCTATAGAACCTTTAGTAATTTTCATAGGTCTTACAATTTTATGCTTAAATCGTTCAGTCTATGATTTTGAAATTAAGTTTATACAGTTGACTAAGAGAAAATAACTTTCAAATTGTAAATCAAATATAACAAACTGATCAATTAATTGAATTATAAACTGTCGATCATCAATCACTTGAAAACATCCATTTGATTGAATAATAAGTATAATTAAAACAAAGTAATAAAATGTCTCAGGAAAAATTTATTCATATATTTAAACGGTATATTTTATTTCTTAACAACATTAAAACATTTATCATTAACATTTATTAACGAATAGATATGCTTATTAAATTGTTATTTACAAACCCTATGATGATCATCTGGTTAATTCATTCTTAACAGTTATCCGTCTTTTAGTCTACTCATCCTTCAGTAAAGTTACTTATTCAACAAAATGCGGGTTAAAAGGTAACAGTTACTGTTGGTGATAACAATGGCTAATTACGATTTGATGAGTTTATTAACTTTCTTGTATTATTTCAAATTCTAAATATTAAGAAAATAACACAAAAGCAATAAAGAAATCGGTTACATAATCGAGTCAATTAATAATGGAAAATGATGATAATGACAAAGAGAATGTTATGTTTACTTCAAAGACTAACTGTGTCACCAAGTTACTATACATCAAAGGGTTTTCAATTTGTTTTTCTTTACTGAGCGGTCATTTAAGGGGGAGCAACAGTTAAATAATATAAATAATAATTAAATAAATCAAGTGTGAAAACTTTGAATCATTGCTTCAACTCTCACAGATAGGACATCATTTAACTGTTTAGTGTTCTTTGACCTTAGAGATTGCACCACACCCGTTAGTAACTCCACCAATAATTACTTCTTAAGGTGTTCATATGGAGTATGGTTTGTTTAAACCACTAGTCTAGTGTTGAAGTACCTATGGTTTAATATTAATGTTTATAACAATTGTTATTAAATAAATTCTTAGTTGCAAATCTTTTCTATTGTCCAAGGATATACGTTTTTAAGTGAAGTAGTGAAGTAATTATGACGATGGTCATGGTAAGTGACTTACATCTGTATCTAGTCATTAAGAAAGTCTCCTTGATACTTCAGAAAATACATCTCTTTAAGATATTTGTGTGAATATCATTTACAGACACAGTTGAAAATATTACGGCAGTGTTATTAGGCCACAAAAAGTTGTTGTAGGGACTGATTATGTTCATAAATATATTAGTTATAATGATCTAAACAAATTCATAAAACTTATTAACCGTGTTGCATATCCTTATTTAATTTGATTAATTGTTGAGGAGTACTGTTGGGAAAGTACTCATCCTCAATAACCTATAGCTTCAAGAGAAAAATATTGTGGAATGGTAATGTTAAACCTTATCGACCCAGTAGTTTGTCCCAAGTTCTTTTTGTGAATGAAGCCTCCAACATGAAAGTACTGCTACGGTACTTATTTTAAAGTTATTATTAAGCATAAGACATATTTCTTGTTACACTCCTCGGAACTTTTCACCTCCGATAAGTGCAGATAATTCTCTATCACGAACTGAAATGATTCCGAAAATCATTGAAAATCAAAAAGGTGTCAATCAGATGCACATGATCAATACAGCAGCTAGTAAAAGTATGGACTGACCCTAGTTTCCCCACTCTGTATTGACATAAAGACAGCAGAAATCAACCAAAG